ACAAATTAAAGTTGAATGTATTTATATAAGCTACGACTAAATCTGGATATATATAATTACGAATGTTACAACTATTTTATGGTAGAATGATGCAAAACAAAAACAGGAAGTATTTTTAATAAATCGTCAGCATAAATTCTGACCCGGTTCTTTTATAAACAGTCCATGAAATATTACCTAGGTCAAAATATAATAATAATATTAAAAAAAAAACTATTTTTAACAGAAAGAATTGCTAGTGGGAACCTTTTATATACTTTTATAACGATAAAGAAGCGTGAGGAACGTGTTTAGCAATGTAAAGATAGCGTTTTATTATATTTATACACTTAAAATGGATTGCTGGAAATCCAGTTAATATTTCACTACTTTTCTCTAAAGTTTTGTCACCTTTGTTACGAATTTCAGATGCAGTTTGCACAGCACTTTCGATTTTTCAAACTTTAAAATGATCAATTCTTCCAACGGGATTTTGTGCAAAATTAAAAATCGATACGATGATAACGCATTTCATTACTTAAAAGATTTTAAATGGAATAATTTTAAACGCCATTTTGCCATAAATTTATCTACATTAAATCATCAGATCGTTTGTTTTTGTAACTAGTTTACGAAATCTCCACTCGATAAACATAGGATTAATCATCGTCCATCTTTAAAGCCGCTTAATTCCTAAATAACAGTTTGGAAGGATTAAAGATAACTTAATAAAGATTTAACTTAAGAAAATGGATTGTTAGAAGAATTATTTTCGTATAAGTTATAAAAGTCAAATCTTTTAACGTAAGTTTTTCATTTTTTTTTTCTAAATAAATTGGATAGGATTTAAGATGCTAGAGATTAACGGTAGTTCAAACTGTTTAGCGGCATTTATTTTACTAGACTTTATAAATCTACTTTTTTCTTTATCCTCCTCCTAGTATTATTAGTGTAGTTAAAGTTAAAAAAAAAATTGATAATCGAAGATAAATTGCGGTTGAAGAAGAAGAAGAAAAAAAAAAGGAGAGAGTTATCGAACGAGGTTTCATAAGAAACGACTCGTTAATCTTATTCTCAATTTTGCAAAAGGTAAGATGTTCCGACAAGTAAAAAGAAACAACAATCGGTGGTAGAAGATAAAGAAAACCAGTCGATGGCTAAACGCATCTTCTTATAAAAACTTCCATTATTTACTCTATCAACTACTTTAGTATTAAAGATAAATATCGCCATTGCTCTCTCTCTCGCTCGCTCTCTCTTTGGAAAATGTTAAGGAAGATTAATAGAGAGCATAGCTTGCCCCATTATTAAGGACACCCCCGCGCTACCTGCAATGCGTAATGTTATGGATCTCGGAAGAGCGTAAACGAAAAAGTTCTCTAGCGGATTTTAATATCTTGTATGATGGATCTGTATCGTTTTCCTTTGGATTCCCAAATTTGTACGATTGAATTGGCATCCTGTAAGTAAAAAAACTTAATAATTTTAATATATATTATTTAAAATATAATTAAATTTAATTCTAAAATATAATGAAATGATGGAATTAATTACGAATTTCTTAAACTTTTAATTAGTTAAATATAATGTTTAAGAATTGCAATAATGCCGTTTCAAGAAGCATGGATTCATACGCTTCTAATGAAGAGATAATCAAATTTTCTCTTCATTAGAATTAATTGGGCATGAATTAACTCCTACCGAGTTAACAAATATAAACAATATCCCGTGTTTTCGATTAATTAACAAATCTACGTGATTCTTACATTGTTTACATTTAATCTTATCTTACAGATATTAAATAATTATAATCACCATTTAGAAAAATTGATGATGATTTTAATTATTTTCTTTTAATTTTAATAATTTTTTAACAATTAAATTGCTTAGGATTTTATCACCAGCCATTCATCTGTTAATCCTCTTGAGAACAGAGTTAACAGAGGGCAATTTGGCTTGACTCCTCACATTTTTAACGCTATTGGGCTTATTAAATATTCGGTCTATTCACATATAATACGAATGTATTAAGAGTTGAATAAACTAAGTAATTGTCTAAGGCTCGAATCTTAGAGGCACCTCTCTTCAGTCTAGAACTTTGAGTAGGCTTTATAATATGAATAATGTGTAAATAGTGACAGTTGAGGTCCAAGTAGTAAATTTCCCAAGTAGAATTATAAAATTTTAAACATTATGTATTAAATTGTGGTATAAATATAATGCTGAAGACATTAACTGTTCATTACTTTATAAGGTTATTTTCCTATAATTTATGCTTAAATAAATGTGAGATGTGCTTACAGAAGAGGGATGCAAAAATAAAATCTCTTCGTCTCTCCTCTCCCACAATTACATTATGTACTATAATAATCTAGAAATATATAAAAATTAAAAATTCCTTTAAAAAAAACATATTTTTAAATGGTTTTATCAGACTTATAAATTGTTCTTTGTATAAATTACATAGCAGAGATTTTTCTACGAATGACATATTTAAAAATTTAAGTTTAATAATTTATTAATTAATTGTTTAATACTAATTTTATTCCGTTTCTGTTCGTAGATAATTATAGGAAAGGAATGAAAATTACATTCAGTATTGATTAAACACGTGCCAAAATATTACTTACAGAATTGATTTCCAATGCTTAATGTGGACGTGTGATATTAACAGAAAGTGTGACAATTGGAAAAATTTTAGTTTATAATTATTCCTCTTAATAATACTTAAAATCAGAGTTTTGTTTTGCAATCAGCAATCATAAATTTTAATATTCTAAAACATTTCTAACTTTAAAACTTTATGGGATATATTATTAGAATCTTCATTAAAAATCCAACCCCACTCGAGACGTGGTTCCTTCTATGTTCCTATCTTGTTAACCTATAACCACCAAAATTTATTAGCATTAATGCCGCTAATACACAAACCTCCGTGCAAATTTTCAGAAATTTTCGTCAATAAGCAAAGGAGTTATTAACACTCAAATTTGGTGAAAAAATCGTCTTTTCAAACACAAACATCTTGCATTTTTTGAAGATTAGAGGTCCTATGAGTCCAAAAATGTAAGAATCTTGGGGTTATACTTTCCTCTGTTATGTATAATATTTTAGAAAGTAAAAATCGCAAATTTTTATTGCTTTAATACACTGCATATGTGCAACTTTAAGTTTTTCCTAAGCAATACTTTACTTATAATTTAGAAAATAGTAGAAATTTAATTATATATAATTAAACAAATTATGCAGATTATTAAAGTGCTTTTAAACTTTGTTTATATTTCAAACATAATAAAAAAATATCATTTTAGAAAATAGCCCTCAACTTTCCTTATCTCATGAAGTTTCCTAGAGTTAAAATTTACCCTAAATTATCATTATGCATTATTACGTTTTCTATTTTTCTTTTCATTGCTGTTATAAAGATTTTATGACAAGTAACAACATGCAGCTGTTACGAACCAGTTTATTAAAAAATATATATATATATTACGGTTGACTAACTTTTGGACCACTTTAAATATGTAACGAAAAGAAAACACAAAGGAAAAATTCAAGAATGACAACTTTGACGGTTGCTGGTCAATCCTCTCGTGTTCTGAGGAAAAACAGATGACAATAACTCAAACTAGATTACGGGGAATCGTTGACAAAGAACAAATCGATTCATGTTCTATATATATATTGCTACTATATAAGGAGAATAATTGACTTGTACAATATGAAAGGAAGGGCGAGATTGTAAACAAATTGTTTAAATACAATTAATGGAAATACTATTGTAATTTAATCGAATACTCTTTGTTATAGTTTTATTTGTTAATAAGGAATCTTCTTCAAACACCAATGGTAGAATGGATAAAACCACTGAACACTGGTCGTGGGTTCACGCAGCCACGTGGAATTCTTCGTGTTTTCTTTACGTTTCTACCACGTAAATAGGGAGCAGTTTCCATAAGGCATCCCCCTCAGCAGTTCGTCCATGTTTCGCATTGCTGTATGAGAAATTTATTTTGGATTTCGGCACTTCATCAACAATAAAATAAATCAATGATAAATTTACCGATATAAGTTCATTTATGCTAGATTTATTATTAATTTTCCTACTAGAATTTACCTTGTTTAAATTATTTGTGCTGATCGATGAAAGAGAAAAGCTGGCAATGAAGAAAAGAACATTAGGGTCTTATAAATTACTATTATTTTTAAAATTAAAAAAAAAATTATTTATATATAAAAACTAGATAATTTTATTTATAATTTAATAACAGCAGTTTTAAATATTGAAGTAATTTTTAAGTTTTATAATTCAAATTACTCCGGATCTTTCGTCACTGTTCAACCTTTCCCATACTTTTATGATGTAACACCCTTTACTATGTTTATTATTTGAAGAATAATAAAATTATAACATAATTGAGCTTCGTTTATTGTGTGAAAGTTGGAAGATTTGTGCTTTGTGGGGGCATCTGTTAAGAACATTATCCATGACACATGATGAATGGATCTCCGATATTATCCATTTCTAATAGGATTTCATTCATAACTATTGTTTACTTTGATGAAATGTTTAGATCAAAGTTTAGGGCAGAAACTTATCTCACCTCAGATGAGCAGTCATCGATCATTGCTAAACCATTTGAATTGCATTAATAATTATTCCTAGGTTAATACAAGTCTCTAAAATTCAACAATTTTTATAGATTTTTCTCATGTTTTCGTTATTATATAAATAATAAAGATTAAATATGTATATTTTCTTCCTAAATATATTTAAAATAACGTCAAAGTTGTTGTTATTTTACTGATTTAGTTAATTTTAATTAGTAAAAATATATATTATTTTCCCGGATTTTATGTGGGGTACGATTTTCTTTACCCTATTTGAAGCTTAATAACTCCTGTGTTTTTTGTCGAAAATTTCTGAAATTTTGCAGAAATTTTTGAGTATTAGGGTCCTTGATGCTGTTAAATTTTGGTGAGTAAAGGTCAAGAGGGTGGGGAGATAGAAGGATTTATGTGTCATATCTCCAGTGAAGTCTGACTTAATGAAGAATTTACTCGTTACCATTTACAAATTGTTATAAGATTTATCTCTACCCTCAAAATTACGGGTTTTGCCATTTAATAATAATAATGTAAAAAGCTTTATTTAGCAAAATAATATAATAAACAGCACCACATGCAATTTTAAATGTTTTTTGACGGGAAAGTTACGCAGCTCGTTGTTGGATTCTTTAATTTTTCATGATAAAAACTTAGGTATAATCTTTCTCATTAACTTAATAAGCCATCCAGCATGTTATAAAAGAAATGCCTATGAATAAATAACTCTATCATTATAAGAACTCAAGGAATTACTATGAGGACTTATAACGAAAGGTCAAGAGTTAAAAGTTAAAAGTTGATTAACTTATAAGTAAATACTGACATAAATATTACAGATAGCTTCTATAATAAGAGGGGGGAAAGTGGTAAAAGCTCTATTAATAACACTAAAAAACTCTGTTAAACACTTAGACCAAGAATAATTATTTATAGGAAATTCCGATTTCGTTTTATGATTGGATAGTAGCGTGTATGAGAGTCCGGGTTCGATTCCCAATTGAATAAGACTCCTACTAGTTTAGATTATAGTTTTATAATATAGAATTCCTAATTACAAAGTTTAATTCTCGAATGCCATACGCTAAATATGGCAATATTTTGTTGCATTTAAAAGAAATGATGTAAATTTAACTTTCTTTTGTGATAAGCATTGAAGAATTTGTTTTATTGGTTGAATTTATACGTATTTTTAAGGTGTGTAGAAAGAAATGAGGTCTTATATTTATGCACCATCCCTATATAACCTTATTAAATATTTTGGAAAGGTATAAGTAGTTATCAGCGCTTCGATATTATTGAAACGAAAGCTTAAAAAATATACGAAATCAGTTAAAAATCAAAGAAATTAAGCTTAAACTTTATTTATTTTTTCTTAAATATCTTTAAGTTCTCGTAAAGATAATTTTATTTTTTAAACAATTTAAAGCTTATCAGGTATCACGTTACATTCTATTATCAACCAGGAAGTTAGAGAATCATTAAATTTCAATTTATTGGTTTATCCTTAATCATTTAGTCAACTCGATAATTCAAACATTTGTTATTGTTTCAGTATGTTCAATCGAAAATTTATTGCTTTAATTCATGCGAGCGTACGAATTTCTGCAATTTAGTACGTAAAAATTACAATAATTATATTTAAAAAGTTAAAAAATTTTATATGAATTTAGCATCTAGAAACTTTTATCATTACTGGATGGTGTTATAGAAGATTTCTTCCACTTTTTTTTATCAATAGATGATGATTATCGGGTGATAAATAGCTGCATGATCATTCCGGATGCTGTATCAATCCGGATTCTTCTGGTGATAACTTATAAGATTAGTAGAAAAGAAGAAATGGCTGTGCAATCATTCATCTGTATAAATCTTTGAGTTTTGATTCGAATTCATTCAATTTATTCCAATTTTAAAAATTCCCAAGCTTCGACGAGTGAATATTTATAAGAATCTTCTTTATACACTCCAATTTATCTTCGTACAAGACATTGATTTCTAAGCAAGTAACCGATGCAAAGTGTCGTACAATAGATTAAGTAAGATAAATCATAATATAATACTGGTTACATCAATATAAAACATCCAAGTAACAGAAACTATAGAATGTTAAATAAATATTACCATATACTAAATTATTTATTGAATTAGAAAGGACTAACTATTTATAACAGTGCTTATTTTTTATTTATTTTTCTAAGTTTATTTCTTAATTAAATTGGTTCCACTTATTCTTTTTCAAAATCTCTTGATATTTTAATAATATTTACAAAGCTTTATTCCTTAGATAAAAATGGAAAACATATAAATCTTACAGAGTACAGGGTAATAAATATAAGGAAAATGATATAAAGGAGTGATACGTGCGTATCTAAAATTTAAGCATTTAAAATAAATGTCTCATAAATCAATAATGAGAATAATTGAGCAAAATTTCCTCATTTACTAATGCAGTTTTAAAGAGCAAGAAGTTAAAATAACTATAATAATTCTATTGAAATAATTAAAAAGTTTACTATTAAATGTTAAAGTTTAAAATTAAATTAGATATTTAAAGTTTAAAACCGTAAAAATACACTGTATATGAAGCATAAATTATTGACTGACGGAATGACGAACGTACTGCAATACAATACACAGTTATTCTTTTTTTATTATTTTGCTCCTTTATGTTCGTCTTCTCCGTCAATGTTCCGAGCTTTGCGGAAAAGCTTCAGTGATAAGATTATTTTCGTTTGGAAAAACTAGGTCTAGATGCATTATTCGAAGTTTTTAAATTGTAAATTTAGAAAGATAACAGATTACGACTTTACTATTGATTAATTTTCATTATTTTTTTCCTATCCTTTTATAAATTAAAACTATAAAAACATAGTTTTACTAGGAAAACTTTTTAAATGGAGAATGTTTTTTTTTTTAAATAAAATTTGATAAAGTTATATATAAAAATCCCATAAAATATTATTCTATAAATACCAAATTAATCAAAATAGAAATTAATTTTTAAATTATTAAAATAGGTTTATATTAAAGTACAGAAAGAAAAATTGGAAATTGCTTAAATGACAAAGATGCTATATTAATTGTAATTATTAAATAATTAATTGGTTATAATAATAATAATTATTATTATTAGCTAAATTATGATTGTTATTCCTAATTATTGCTATCGTATAAATTTCAATTATTAAGAATAATTAAAAATTGTTTGATAGACTTTCATTATTATTAAAATATCCTTCCTTTTTTTCTTGCAATTTAATAAGATTTTATCCCATTAATTTTATTATTTTAATATTACTGTTGTATTTAAATTAAGAAGTTTATTATTTCAGTAATTTTATATTTTTAATGGCGACTTTTTCTTCTTTTTTTTTTTGTCATTTCTCTAAAAAAAAATGTATTAAATTGACAGTTAAAATTTTATTAAGAACTTCACTTTTCTAGATGAAAATTATAAATTTATAAAGTAAATAAATTTATTTTAGAATAATAATTGACAATTTCTAAAAACAAGTTGTCAGTTTATAATTTAGAAAATAAATTTTTTCCTCTTATCTAATGACAAATTTGTAATGAGATTTAATTATTTTTCTTTATTTTGTTCGTAATTTAACATGAATAATTTCGATTTATGTCAAATTTTCAAGTCAATTTTGTATTTTTGTATAAAATTTACATGTTATTGTGAGCGAATGGAACGTTTTTGGAGACGAGAGAGAGAGAGAGAGAGAGAGAGAGAGAGAGAGATGCTATGTTGGCGGTCGAGCGAGCGAATTCGATCGCTTATACATTATTTTTTATGTATAATTACTGTTTATCCATCTTATCTTTTTCCTAGGATTTAAATTTTGACGTATCCTACTATTTTATTTTATAAAATAACATACAATTCGTTCAAACATAGAGAGCAGAAGGAGCAAACATATAAGATTTGGATTATTCTTTGCTTTTTTCGAATGGAAATTCTATCACGAAATGACTTTTTTGTATGGGGAAATTTATTATAATAAACCATACATTTTAGTAAATGGTAAAATTAAATAATATATATTTTAATTTGTTATTTTATAACTCGTAATCAACCATTTAGAATATCATTACAACAAAATAAAGTAAAACACAAAACGTGTTTATTAATTAAATATGAAAATTAATAGAGCTGAAACGTAGTCTTTACATCAGATATTTGCAACTCGAATCTACAGACTAACTGCCATACTCCCTGTATATAATTATCTCGTTTGAAAGACATCATTTAGGATAATGGATTCCTCTTTATCATCCCTGGAAAAAGTCTATACACCCGCATCGGATTACTATTCATTTGTTAATTATACAACCCCAATTAAGTCCTCCATTCATTAAATTTTAATGCGTTTCCATTAAAAATGATCCTACAACAACAATTCTTTTAATGGAATAGAATGATCCTGTAAGAATAAATCTTTTAATAGAAAATAAACACGAAGTTATCGACTAAATATACACCAGTAGGACGACATTTTAATTCTGTTGACAAAGTGCGTAATATTTACAAGAATGACTTTCAATCATTTCATTTAAAATATGAACATTAAAGAACAGACCTCGCTACAGCGCTAATAAATACTTGTTTATTGGCGATATATCGGGATATTTCCCATTAGTATGTCGCCATATCGAAGTTTATATATTTACATAACCAAAGCATGATTAGGCAAACATTTTCCCTTAATTTTCTTTCTTCTCTATTTAATAATATATACAGGAAAGAGGATAGAAGATCGCTGTATCAAGCCATGACTATACTAGACAATTGATACAGTCTCTATGTTATTCCAGAACCTATAAATATGTTATAATTTGATAATTATAATTATAAAAATCAATGCAAAAACTATTATGCATGTATTAGTAATAATAACATTGACGTTGATTGACATGACATCTCGATATTGTGCTCTCTCTTGGCATCCTCCGCATCCTCATCTCATTGCATCTCTATTAGGAAAATGCTATAGATTTCTAGAATCGTTTTTTTTTGTATAAAATATATGATTTTCTTGCAATTTAAAATTGTCTTTTTATTAATTTTTTTAGTTTCTAAGACGACAGATGAATTGAATTTGCAATGGGCGGCACATAACCCGGTTGTACTGTTTGATTTTTTGAAGCTACCGCAGTTCGAAATACAGGATATCAACACTTCTTTATGTAAAGAAAAATTCCACATTGGTAAGTAATTTATTAATAAACAAGAGCCTCGAGATATTGTTTACATTTCCATAATCTTATAATTACAACGGGACGTAATTGTAATTATGAACTTAAGAAATTACGTCTTATAGAAGTTATTAATAATGTTTGCTATTTGGGTAACGAGGTAATACAAATTCTATTATTTTATCATTAAATTTCGATGGTTAAAAATTAAGTTAAAAATTGAAATTATATTCAACAAACAACAAAGAAATAAAGTAAATATGTGGCTTATATTCAATAGAAATTATATAAATATAATAATAATAATAATAATAGGAGAACGTTACATAGAAGAAATGCAAAGATGTATCGCCTTAGAGAAATACATATAATTTTGTATATTTTAACACCATGCATTGATGATAAATAATACGATTTTTACATTTAAATTTTCTTTGATAATTTTCAAAAATTTATTTACTATATTACTTCACAGCGCCTAAAGCACTTACACCCCTTTCTACTCCACCTTTCTATGTCTTTGATGGAGCTATTTAATATTAAAAAATTATTTTATAAATCGTGTAGATGTTAAATTAATATTAAAATAATATTAATTAATTAATTACAGGAATATATTGTGATTAATTGAGGTTATACTATGCGCTTTCGGTTTAAAAATATATAAATTAAAACGAGCAATTATTTAATCACGTTTTAATTTTTAAAAGTCACGTGAATTCCGGTACAAACCGGAAGTTTCTATGTAATTATTCGGAGCCTCCGATCACTAATCTTATTATATCTGGTCTCGATTTTCATCTATCTTACTCCTTTATTGAATTTAACGAAGGACAGACAGACAGTCAGACAATTACTTTAATACGTAGAGTATACGAATTTCTAACACGAGAATACATTTATTATTATAGTGTTTAAATATATTTTTACTATTTAATTATTTGTATCTAAAAATATTTTATTTTTTATTTTTTATTGCAATGCATGCATCAAATACTATTATTTAGAGACAACTCGTTACTTTAAATACTGTACTTAATATTGAACGTGATTAAATTAAATAATTATGGAAATAACTATTAAAAATTAGGAAAAATATTTAATTTTTGTTTTACAAAATAATTTTATAATTTATTTTGAATATAACTAAGTTTAAAAATCATTTTGAAAATTTTCCAGAAATGTTTCTTACTCTTTTACTACTTTTATTATTTTATGCTACATTTCTAAGTAAAGGAATGTTAGATATAACTTTATTAAATTTTAAAAAATAATAAAAAAGTCAAGAATTTTATTAAATTTCTTTATTTTAAACCCTAAACTTTACTCGTTTGCTTACATTCCCAATGCAGACGTGCTCTTTAATACCAACTTCTCTGTTAAAATACCACTAAATAAATCCACTAAATATTTTTAAAAAATGATTAAAAATAATAAAATATATAGAAAATTATAAGATATATACAAAATAAAACTGTAGAAATAATTAAAGCGATCAAAAGATGCCTTGCAAACTAACTATTATCATGCAATACAAACAGCTTGATAACGTATTTCTATCACTAAAATGATTAGTTGTTAACTATGTAAGCCCGATAGAACATTGCCATGGACACAAATAGGTTATAAACTGTCACAAATTGCAAATTACAACTAACTATATATTATAATCAATCGTCGCTTAAACATTCTACATTCAATCAATATCAATATAGAGTATCATTGATTTAATATATTCGAATATAATAATATATTCTAATAATACTAATATATTATAAAAATAGCAGATTGTCATTGGCAACGGCAAAAGAGTGAAAATATCATTTGCACTTGTTTGCAGAAAGTTTGTTGTTCGCCTCACGTAACTGCCGAATGGAAAGTCTGTTGTTNGACGCTTTTGACTATTACTTCTAAAGGGGCAGGAATCCAAAGCAATTTACCACCAGTGTCATACGTCAAGGCAATGGATGTGTGGATGGGAGCTTGTACATCCTTCGTCTTTGCAGCCGTATTGGAATTTACTTTCGTTAATTATTTATGGAGGAAGCATCCAAATCGTGCCAAAGCTGATACTAAATCTGGAAATTTAATCTCTCTCAAAATGGTTAATAATTTTTTCCATTATTCTTACAATATAAAATTTAATATGTAGTAAACTTAAGATTGGTAATCTTTCAAAGAAAAGCGGAAGAGATGATATAAGATCATTAATCATATAAAAACTCACTTATAAAAAATATTTTATTATAAATCGGTCTAGAATAGTTTAATTTTACATTCTATAACCTTAAATAAATGATTATGATTAATAACATATCTTAAAACTCCTATTTTATTTTCTCTAGATGAACGGAAAATATTCTTAATTCTATTTAAGAGAAGACGATCTGATTAATCTAATTAAAGTAATAATAATAATAATAATTTAAGCATACTTATTAATGGACTTCAGATCTCTTTGTTACTTAAAAGATAAAATTTACAAGACGAAAATAATTGTTAAAACTCTTTAGCATCTGAAACATTGAATCCCAGATGAATATAATACATTCAATTTAAAATACTAGAACATCTTTATACACTAAAATGTTTCATAATCAGTTAATGGTTTATATAAGCAGCAAATTTATAAAATTATCAAAGGAGTTATGAATTAATACTCTTATAAATGCACTAAAAATATAACCACAACTCTTACTATATATATAGCAATTGTAATTACAGTTCTTTTCTAAGATAAATATTGTTTATTTTTAAGAAACTTTGTCATTATTTATATACTTAAATTTATATAATAAGGATTTAATAAACTGAATATATAAATACAAAAATTGATGATGTATTTTTGATTTGAAATTATTAAATCTCTCTGGTTTAAATATTACTTTAGAACGTCCGATCTTTATAGTTAAGTAATTTAAATATATTTTCTTTGTTTATAGATATGAATGAGATTTTATAACAAGGATAACGTTTAATACAAAAGTTTAATTAAGGTTCTGTTATTAGAGATTTTATCTTGGAAAATTTTCTTCTAGTTTCTGCAATTCATTTCAATAATTTTTTGTTTTAATAGCTTATTTTGTAATAACTTATCTTTATAATAAACAATTTTGCTTATTATTTAATTAATATTCTTGTTTTTCTATTTATTTTAAGCGGTATATTTGTAGGTCAACTTGTAATTATTGATAGAATTTAAAGTCAACCTATTACCCTTAAATTCTATTAAGAATTTACAGGTTAGAAGCTGTATTTTATCGTCTGAAGTTTTGTATAAATTATAACTCTGTTTTAACAATACTTGTACATAAATATATAAATTGTTTCTACTGTAAAGTATGGCTTTTATTTCAGTACATGTTAAATGCATAAACATAAATATATCATAAACATTAATGTAGTGATTATCATTTTAATTAAATTAAATGTTATTTGAATAGTTTTTNACAAGCTAAGATTAGAATCTAGCATCACTTTATGCTTTTAAATATATTAATTCGATGATGAAGAGCTTCTTTAATGTTATATCTTAAGGTCATTTGGCCCTCCAAAATACTTTTAATCCTACATTTGACTTAATTTTATATGAAGTAACAAAGCTTCGGGATATAAAATTATTTAATTCTTTTATTATTTGGTAAAATATTGTGAAAATTAGCACAATTCCGATTGAAATATTATAAAATTCTTTTGCTTATTTTATAAGAAGAAATTTAATTTTTAAGCAAGTTTAAAAATTAAATTTCTTCTTAAATTAGCTGTGAAAATGGCTGATTTGTAATTATAATTTTATATATTTTTAATATATCTCTCTTATTGATTAAAGTAATATTTTATTTACTTTTAAAAACAGATAATACTGAGTGATTTATTGCTTTTTAACTGTTAAATATTGTAAAACACATTTATTAAGTTTTATTTCATTTGTATTCCGTCTCGTTTATAGACTTAATATTTGTAATTTAGAGAAATAAGTAAGGAATTTTTCCTCACCATTCAATGGAATAATATCTGACATGGATTCTCGAATTATGGAAACGTTTATATATATTTTTTTTCCATAGGTGAATATAGCTGTTTGCGTGCCGAATTCAACTTGCAAAGATCAATAGGCCACCACTTAGTTCAGTCTTATCTACCAACTGCTCTTATTGTTGTAATCTCTTGGGTATCTTTCTGGCTTGATGTTGAATCAATTCCAGCGAGAATTACACTCGGAGTCACGACGCTTTTGACTATTACTTCTAAAGGGGCAGGAATCCAAAGCAATTTACCACCAGTGTCATACGTCAAGGCAATGGATGTGTGGATGGGAGCTTGTACATCCTTCGTCTTTGCAGCCGTATTGGAATTTACTTTCGTTAATTATTTATGGAGGAAGCATCCAAATCGTGCCAAAGCTGATACTAAATCTGGAAATTTAATCTCTCTCAAAATGGTTAATAATTTTTTCCATTATTCTTACAATATAAAATTTAATATGTAGTAAACTTAAGATTGGTAATCTTTCAAAGAAAAGCGGAAGAGATGATATAAGATCATTAATCATATAAAAACTCACTTATAAAAAATATTTTATTATAAATCGGTCTAGAATAGTTTAATTTTACATTCTATAACCTTAAATAAATGATTATGATTAATAACATATCTTAAAACTCCTATTTTATTTTCTCTAGATGAACGGAAAAGATGCGGCTACTAAAGATCAAGTAAGTGTAAGCAATTGTTTAACTTATTCATCAAATTAAATTCAATTTTAAACTCAATAATCCAATTTTAATATATTTACAATTAGAGCAATCCGGTACATGTTGGATTACCGTCAACAGAGAGCAATCAGCATCAATTCCCAATTCCGGATGTCAACATTCATAAAATTCAAGCCAAGCGAATTGACCACTATTGCCGAATAGCATTCCCAAGTTTCTTTCTACTCTTTAACATTGCTTATTGGCCATACTATTTACGGTAATTGTGTCAAGGCGAACATATATTTGGGATCAATTATCATCGAAGGATAAGATACCAAAGCACATCTGCACTGTAGATATAGTCAAGCGCACTATAATCTTAGACGTTACTCACATAGAAGCAGGGATTTAAAAAATAAAAAACTAACTCATAACCTGAATAAATATATTATTTAGCACTATAAGAAACTATGTTTTAAATTCTTATATATTAAAATAGATTATTATGCAATATATAAATGAGAGATATCTATAATTTCATTCCATTATCATTAATAATATCGGCTTATGCCATTGTTAAAATTTCAAAAGAAATTAAAATATTTTTATATTTAATAAGCTTAACTCTCGCTTAATATATCTAGATTCAAGTTTCAATACTAATGAGCTTATAGAAAGATCTTCCTATATCTATATCAGAGATGGAACGTTATTTACTATCCTCTATTGCGTGAGAGAGGAAGTATCACGATACTAATAAACTGTTTAATGGCATTAAAATGTTCTTCCTATAGATTTCTAGTTAAATTATAAAATTTTACAGCTTATTTCATTCTGTTAAACGATACAGAAAGATTCGTATTCTCTTCTCTTGATTCAGAACAGAGAGAATCCGAATTGAGAGAATCAGAAAAACGAGAAGAGAAGCAACAAATATACGTATTAAAATAAAATTTAAAGTTATTTCTTAATAAAACGTAGGCATATTTTGTATCATTATTTAAATCACAACCTCGTATTTGCATTAATAATGTTAAACAAGCTAAGATTAGAATCTAGCATCACATTATGCTTTTAAATATATTAATTCGATGATGAAGAGCTTCTTTAATGTTATATCTTAAGGTCATTTGGCCCTCCAAAATACTTTTAATCCTACATTTGACTTAATTTTATATGAAGTAACAAAGCTTCGGGATATAAAATTATTTAATTCTTTTATTATTTGGTAAAATATTGTGAAAATTAGCACAATTCCGATTGAAATATTATAAAATTCTTTTGCTTATTTTTATTATTTTAAGAAAGAACTAAGAAACATTTTTAGTATAGCGAAACATTGTCTTAAATATAATGAAAATAATTAATAAAACATTAAAAAAATCTTCATATTATACGAAATATTCTTAATTTTTTCCTTTGTAACCGGGATAATTTTCAAAAAGCATCAAGGAAATGTTGTATAAATCAGGATAACTTCAAGAAAGTATCCTATAATAAGAGAAATTTACAAGAAAGATCAATAAAATTTCCTATAATCAATACAATTTCTAAAAAAAAAAACTGAAAGCCAAGACGCCGTGTGACTAAATTAGACTTACACATGCTGAAATTATAAGAAATCTCGTTAATTAATCAATATCATTCTTGTTTAATCATCGTTCTCCTTTAATTAATCAGATTAAAAGAATGCACAACTTTCTGAAATTTGTTTTTCTTTAATTTATAAGAGGAACCATTTAATGTCATTAGAGTATTTTGTTAGTAATGATATTTATCCACCCCTCCAATGGATAATATAACAAGATAAAACATAAGTTTACATCCTTTTATCTTTCATTTAAAAAAAGGCACATATCATTTATTAACATTACGTTATGAAAAATATTCTTCAATGACCCATTAGTATAGAAAATAGATGTTGTTATACGTTTCCTTTTATGTTTATTATGGAATTATTTATGTAAAAATACTATATTAATCCATATAAAATGTATGTTAAACTATTCGAGTGATATAAAAAAACGCACTAAATAGTTTTAGAACTGTAAATAAACTGTGACTATGTGACTTAAATGTAAATTTTGTGCATGGTTCGTTTAGAGAAAATGAAAGAAATGTATTGTATTTTAAGGAAAAACAAATGAAATTTCATTCTGTTAATTGATAATTTTACTGTTTATAGTATAATACGAGAGGAGAATTATTTAAGTAATGTTTATACGAGAAGATATATTAGTTGTTGTCTGTATTGTTACTGTATTTTTAGACAATAAACGAGTAAATTTCAATAAAAAATTGTTGAAATAATTGTAAAAAGAAAGTAAGGAATGGCAAATAGTATTAATAATTCTAAGAATATAAAAAAAATAAATTATTCTCGAAGTAACAAACTGCACGATATACGACTTCCATTATATGTGTACAAATAAATGAAGTTTGTAATATTTTATGGAAATAAATATCAATATAATATTATACAAATAAAGTGCTTGAGTTTGTTTCTTGTTTATTCAATATAATATAATTTGGCAACTCTATTCAAGGACTCTATCGTTATATTTCGATACTACTACACTAACAAATGACAATTTAAAAATATATATATATATTATTTCAAAAATGACGTAAAAATATTAAGAGTAAATTTAAATAAACCATGCCTGACTGCAATTGTTAATCATGTTTTTAATTTATTTAATTTAAAATATATGCTCTCGACTTTAGTAGAGTCTTGCTCCTGTACATCACACTTATCCTCATAGCAACAGAGTCATGCTAGTCATCTATTGTAACTTTTTTGGCGAAAATTTGAATTGAAATCACGTGACTTCCGGTCTATACAGAAAATTCGTATACAGTTAATCAGAACCGCCTGCCCTAAGCTTTTCATATCAGGTGTGAATATTCATCTATCAACTCAACTCTCGAGATTAAGGAAGGATAGACAGACTCTATAATTTCATTCCATTATCATTAATAATATCNCTCAACTCTCGAGATTAAGGAAGGATAGACAGACAAGATTAAGAAATAATGGTATAATTCGTAATAAATTCTATTTCTTGAATGATTGTTATATTATTTTTGATTTCGAAATCTTATAATTTATTTTTTATAATTTAAAGTTATTTAATAAGACCACACACTTGCCAAGGAATATTATTGTTATTCAGTCATTTTTAAATGAAAGTTTTAAATATTTCTAATTGAAAACACTCTCAATACTATTAAGAAGAAAAATAATCATTATATACAGGTTATTTTATCAAATAACAATACTAATTTTTAAGAAAAATAATATAGTAACAAGTTGCGTAACTTTCCCAGCTATTATTATATTTTATTAAAAATATAACACTTCTATTATTAGTCATAATAAATAAAATTGTATATGGTACTATCTATTATGAGATTTTGTTATAAAAAAATTTTATATATCATAAATTATTATAAAATGGCAAAAAGCTTAATTTTGAATATAGGGATGGGTTTTATAAAAAATTGTAAATGTGAATAACAAGTAAAATGTTCACTAAGTCCGACCCCCCTCTTGAGATGTGATGTGTCTCACCTTTATTTCCCCTCCTCCACCTTTAACCACTAAAGTTTAATAGTATCAATGATCCTTATATACAAGATACTGTGCCAAATTTCATTTCCTAATCTTTACCCCATCCTGAATTATTAAACGAAATAGATGCCAATACACATACACACACAGATTTTTGACATTTTTCGCTTCATAGGTGTCAAAACATCACGATTCCAAAAAACCCGGAGGTTCAATATGACACGATCACAACATTATATTATAACAGTCAGAAATGTAATTCACGTTACTTTAAAACAGCCAGGAAAGTAACAAGAAAGTAAAAGTTTGAGATTTTTATAATTCTTTTCCATGTTATGTTATAACAACAAATGCTTGACAGTTTTAATTTTTAGCAAATTTTATGTTGAGCTGCAATTTGAAAAAATCGTAGACTTATAAATTCCCACTGTCGTCAGTTTGTCCTCCCATCTGTCAGTCCTTAATCTCCAGAACAGTATTACATAGATGAAATTCGAGACCGTTATTTCAATTAAAAGTTTTTCTCCTGGAGGCAGTTAATAGATGACCGGCACGACTCTAGTGTTAAAGTAAAAGTATGATGTACAGGAGCAAGTTACTTAATTTGAGGTGGAGAGCATATATTTTAAATTTAATAAATTAATAATTTCAGCACAACATTATGACCATGTCATAATAAATAATTGTTCGTTTAACTTATTTCCTTTTGTCTATTATATGTATTTTAATTGGGCTCAACTTTAAATTTAAGAGGAGTAAAAGTGATTTCACTTTACGTGACCTTGAACATCAGAAATTTAAAGTCACAGATTACACAGTCCTAACCGTATTTATTTAAATACAAAAAAGAGTTTTAGAGTAATTAAATAGCGCTCTTTAACTTTGTCTTGCATCTTTTAAGTTAACTGTACTCATTAAAAAGTTACAATGTAAGTGACCTTGAAGAACTGTTTTCAAGGTCAACCAAAGTTTTATCCTCTTCTCCATGCGTGATTTCTTCTATTAACAAAATTAATATATCTTCAGTAATTTTGGAATGAAAAGGGCGCAAGGGACTTTTGACTCATCCTGAATTTAAGTTCTTTTAGTAAAAATTTTATTTAAAATTATATTTTTCTAGTAATTTTTCACTATTTATATACAATTTTAAACATTCTCTTAAACATATTAGACATTTTCTACAATAATATATAAGCTAACAATTAAATTACCATTGCATCAAAGCAAAATAATTTGTAAACCTATATGAGTAACAGAAAATTGTTCTGTTGATACACACCAAAACAAACAAATATTTGGCTAAATTGTGGGTCAATGCACAAGAAGATTTTCTGCAGAATATCTTATTTGCAGACAATATCATATTGATTGATGAGGGGAATGACGAATGGAGGAGGTAGACTTTACAATCAAAAGAGTAGAGGATCAGAAAAACATACAAAATGTATGGAGTATATTTTTAGCAAATGGCAGAATATGAAAAACAATTTGATAAGGAATGAAAATCAGTTAGTGCCAATGGTGTGTAAACTTCACTACTGGTGATTGATCACCTTCAATGTCTCTGTCACACTTATGATGGGTAAGTGATGACAATATAACAAATAGAACTGCAATAGAGTGATAAAGGATGGATTTTTATAAATCAACGATTAAATAATGCTACTCAATGCTGAAGAGTGTTCAGCAATAATTTGAAAGATAAGACAAATGTATTATTTTAAGAATTGCTGTATTTATGAGGTGTTAAGTGTTTGCTTCCTATGCGTCAATGGATACTGTCGAGAGGGATGGAGGACTTTCTATGGATGGGAAACTGGCTCTTATTTAGATACTACTGACGTCAAGAAAGTCTGAAGAATTTTACGTGTCCAGCCCTCTAGTGAGATGCGAACCCACGACTAAATATTAATGTTAAGTCGTTTTATCTATTCATTCACTGATAATATTAAGTTATATCCTAAAATTAAGATTTGTTAAGTTTCAAGTGAGGAATAAAGAAGAGAAAAAACAATATATTCGTTACGAAAGTTTATTTTTTAGATAAATTTATATTCTAATCCATTAAGAAAAATTGCCTTTTTCTTTCTTCTTATCCCTCTACTTTTCTCTCTCTTCATAAGAGGAAAAGATAAGAAGTGAGGAATAAAAGAAATAATATGCTTATTATTAGATATTCTGACTAAATTTTTTTACTTGATATGAATTTGTTGACTTTATAGCCAACAAAATCTGATTTATGCTTTCTAATATGACATTATTATGAAAGCCAACTCTTACTATCTCATACTAAAATTTTATATTTTGCAGAAAGTTCTGGGAAAGTTTTATATTATGGAAATTATTGATAGGAAATATAAGTTTAATAATTTTTTTTATATTGTCAATTATTTATCACGCTAAAAAAGCGAAAATATTTAAAAAAAGTTACACAAATTATGATTCGATATTTTTCGGTAATTTTAAGCATAGGGATGTCCAAAAGTCAGTTCATATTACTTTTATTACAATACAATTTAAATAGTAAAAAATGCGTTCTAATGAAGAAATGATAAAAATACAATTGAATTAACTGTATTTTTTTTAGTTAATTCCAATTCAGTCTTTACCATGGTTAACTGATTTTTGGATTGAATGTATTGATGGTATGAGGCAACGCAATATGCCAAGAGGACTTCATCCCAGAAGA